TGAAATCTACACATATGCCTCTTCTCACCATCAGTAAGGCTGCACCCTTTTTCTAGCAGCTGCAGTTTTCATTTTATTTAGTTGGTTTCCTGGTACCAACCTGACTATGAAGCCTCACCCAAGGTTGCTCAGCTGATGCTAGTAGATAACGTCTACTTTCCCAAACATAGTACATAAAGGGCCAGCCAGAGTAGAAAGTTAAACCAGATTAACACCTAAAGGTACAGTGGAAGATTTGAAAAAGTTTGAAAAGATCCACCCTCTCCACTTAAAAAAAGAATTACACATGTACATCCCTGTACCCGCTCCTGAGAGGGAAAGTCTATTAAATGGATGTAGGAGCGTGCATGAGCCCATTTCTCCTCGTGCACACTCTGTTTAAAAGTTGCTGTTTGCGTCGCTCAAACAAGCTTACTTTCCAAAAGAAGATTGGCTTTTTTTCCACTCTGTCAGACTCACCACTGGTAAGTGAAAAGGGGGACGAGCACATAGGATGGCCTTATGTAAACATATCACCAGAATGATTGACAATTAGAGGAACCACTTATTTTGATGATCCAGCTGGAAAAAGAACATCCTCCACTATTTCTTTTCAAGAAAATACAGAAAAAGTTTAGATTTTCACAGAGAATATGAACTCCATTGAAACAAGAATTTAAGACGCAATATATGATTTCATGAACAATATTTCACTTCATTTCAAATTGGTGGTTACGGTAAAAAAAAGTAACATGTTCATCAATTCATTAAATTTGTCAAAATACAGCGTGTTTAAAGAAATTATTCATGTCCCATTTTTTCTACAGAGAAAATAAATATATTTTTCAAGCCTTAAAAAATAGAAAAAAGAAAATATGAACTAGATCTCAATTACAATGAGGTAGACATGTGAACTCCATGTTACGATGCAGTTCAATGATTAAAAAAATCCCTCTACACAGCTACAACTCATTTCTTCATTTTATATATATATAAATAAAAAACCTTTCCAGGTTATTAAGCTGGTAAAAATATATAAATGAAAATAAACTGTTAGGTTAAAAAACTCCCAGAACCTCGTCATCCTGGACCTGACAGGGTACCTCCAATGAACCTTTAATGAGACTATCCTTTAAAATCAAATCCAATCTGACTTTGTTTTTGGTTGCACATTACAATTCAGCTTGAAGAGACTCGCACCCAGGAAAAGTGGCAATTTAAGAGATTTATTGATGATCTGACAGTTCTTTCGCATTCGGACCACGGCGGAAGACATGAAAGCTATGAACAACGATGATCTTGCATGATCATTGTGAGATTAGGTTTAGATATGTCTTCTTCCGGAATGTAGACACTGGTGGTGGAGTACAGGCCAGAGAAGGAAGCCAGAAGGAGACTGAGAGCATGATGGAAGAGAGCTGAAGCCCAGCTGGAGATCAGACCTTCAGTCAATGGAGAACTTTAAGCAGTTCCTTATAGGACGGTTGGCTGAAGAGGAATGAGGATCTGACGGTGATTGACTGGAGCACATGATGAGGTGATTGAATCCTGGTGATGCTGGGATAAGTCTTCTAGTTTTAAGTTGTTTAAATTTTATTAGTACAGAAAAAAAAAATTATACCTGACAAATTCCACCTGACAAAAAAACCTTCTGAACTGTAGGAAATTATGGTTTATATTTTGTATGATGAAAATGTGTTACAATAGGAATAAGCAATTCCTACAGTATTTACTGTTTATGTGGATCTTTGGATCTTTATGTTCATTGGCTGCTTACTTTAGGGACACCTTGGAGTTCCTTAAAAATGTTTTGTTGAAAAACTCATCTTTTAGAAAATCTAGTGTTTCTCCACATCACAGTTAAATTGTTCCATTTCACCATTAACAACATTATCATGGTGGCCTACAGGATCACCAGTATTTGTATCATGGTTCAGGAAAGCAGATGATCAGCTAGAGCAGCGGTCCCCAACCACCGGGCCACGGACTGGTACCGGGCCGCACAGAAAAAAGTATGTATATATGTATGTATATATATATATATATATATATATATATATATATATAAAATTTATCGATGATCATATAATTTATCAATGATCAGAGTCTGAGTAATGTTTTATTTTGAAAAATATAAAAAATTGTGGTATTCTCTCCCAATTACATCAGTCGGTGAATCTGTGCCTCTTGACACAGGTTAATTCAGTTCAAGACTCATCCTATTTATAACATCCTATGTTTGTGAAGCGGAATTTTCTGCGGTTACAGTGACCAAAACAAAGCTACGGAGCAGACTGGACATCAGGAGCACACTTCTTCTGTCATTTTCTCCGATTAAGCCTAGATGTTGTTTTATTTTTATGCTGTTTGTATTTGATTTAATGCCAGTCGTATCATTTTATCCCCCCCAACCCCCCGGCCTGTCCGTGAAAATATTGTCTGACATATAGTGGTCCGTGGTGCAAAAAAGGTTGGGGACCGCTGGGCTAGAGGAGAAGGACTCAGGTTTTTCCTTTTCAGTCCTTTACTGGATTTCTGAGCCGTTTCCTGAAAACAGCTACTACAGTGCCTTTTAGTTATTATCCCAAATAAATAATATAAACATTCCTTTGGTTAGAATTTACTACCAAACAATTTCAATATTCATTTTAATCATTAAAAAAATAAGGCTAGATTGATGTGTTAGTCTTCTCCCATCTATGTAATCTATATACAGAAAGGTTTAAATAATGATCCCTCTCCTACTAGTTTGGCCCAACATGATGCACCTGCAGAGGAGCATCGGTATCACTAACATCTGGTGGGAACAGTAATCAAATAAACCATATTATTCAGCAGTCAAAGAAAAGCAGCATGGAAAGGGATCATGTATGTGATCTACCTTGATCTGCTGGAAGAACACATTTAAAGTGCATTAAGCAGAATACGTCTGCATTTAATTTGACCAATGATCAATGCAGAGAAGGATTGGGATTGGCTGCAAACTGTAATATGAACTTGTGTATAACAGTTAAAATGTTCTGAAGCTGGGCGTTGTCTTTGTCCCCATTTGATGCAGTCTCACCATTCC